AGATAATGTTAACAATTTACGGTGTTTTTTGTGAAATGAAATAAGGAGAGAACTTAGACATAAATTTGTTCTAATTAATTATATTTCAGGATATAAAAAAGACATTTTATGACAAGTTTGATAAAATAGTGTAAAAAAATTTCACACAAGTCCTGTATACATCGTATGCTAAAATATAGTGAAGAATTGGGAATCAAGGTAGGAAAAACAACATTCTACAAATATAAATTTTCTTTTAAAATAAAATTGACACACAACACACACACACACACACACACATACAGAAAAATAGATAGCAAAAGAGGAAAAAACACAAAAGAAATGTTTTACAACACAAATTTTTAAAAAGAAAGAAATATTACCTCCCCTGTCCGAAGCTGTACGTATGTTAATAACTCTGTCAGAATCACTTACTGATTTATGGATGGTGTTTGACATTTAAGTGCGTGTGCATACGTTTAGCGTGTTGTACTACCGTTCTGCTTAAGAATAAGAGTTACATGAAATATATCAACAAGGGCTGATGCTATAGGAAATGGAACGATTCAAGGTTTCATCTTTCTCTTCGGCATGTTAAAATTCTTGGATACTTAGTTTTATAACTTATTTTTTCGTTGGATTGTCTGTGTATAAGAGGCTTAGACAGTAGTGTGTCTCTGCACGACAGCAAGACTCCTTTTGATAAGTCTTAGTATCGTCCAAGCTGTATATATCTTTGACCGTGTAGAGTAGACTTTTAAAGTGTATGTGGATTTTTGAGAAAGTATTAATAACTGTTAGTGTTAAAGTATATGAATAAGGAGTGTGAACGATAAGGTTACGTGGGAACGAAGGTGACATATGACATGTTGGACCTGTACTTAAGACCGCAACTCACTAAAATATGAATGCGAGATTGAAGTAAGTTGAGATGGATGAAATGGTTATTGTGTAGGTGTAAAAACAACAGTTCTGCGGCTAATGAGTGTTTCTTCGGGAAACTTTGCGATTGGCCAAGCGGTGTGTCGTGGTTACTCCTAGGTGATGTTATAGCGGAACTGTGTAGCGGTCACACTTGAGACGGTGTGTAGTCTTCTAGTAGGGATCTTGGATTCGGTTTTTTGCTGTAATTTTAAAATGCCTGGCGATGTCTGTTGAAGGTGGATGGAACGTTATTTTAGCGGGCGTCACAAATAATGTTTGTTGTTCTTGATTGTTTGCTGTGGTTAAATTGAAAAGTTTCATTTCTGTTTAACTATTTTAATTTTCAAATGTTTATATGGACAAAAAACTTTTTTTTTTTTTATTTCTATGGTGTATGGATCTAGGGTATTTTCGGGTGTCTACGTATGAATAGGTATGTCTGTTCTAATTGGTCACACACAGTTGATTATGGCTAGAAGCTGTTGTCGATGCTTGGATCTCTGTGAGTGCGTTTTCAAAGACAGACGTGATGTGTGGT